ATAGCAGGATTTCTGATAAAGATTGAATCCAACTGTTCTAAACGTACCTCTCTCGAAGGGATTATCTCCTGCCCGGCCTGAGTCACGGGATCCCCCTTCATGTCTTTTCAGGTAATTCTGCAGAGTTGATCTAAATGGAAGAGACAATTAAGACTTTGATTGCTTGTCATCTCCTTCTGGCTAAACAGAACTGTACACTATGACAGAGCATAAACTGCATTCATTGACGAGAAGCCATCGAGCAGGAACCAGCCGGGAGCTTAATCAGGTATAAAAACATGTTTTCTGTTTTATTACATTATACATCCAATTACCTGAAGTCTGGAGGATTACCAGCAAAGAATATTCCAGGCATGCGATGTCTTATTGGACTTTTTATTTGGTGCAACCTGTATTAATATCTTGTATTGTCTTACTCTCTGTTTATCAGTAAGGGGGTGGGGGTATCCCTTACTATGAGTGTTTGCAACCTGTATTAATATCTTGTATTGTCTTGCTCTCTGTTTATCAGTAAGGGGGTGGGGGTATCCTTTACTATCAGTGTTTGAAACCTTTATTAACATCTTGTATTGTCTTGCTCTCTGTTTATCAGTAAGGGGGTGGGGGTATCCCTTACTATCAGTGTTTGAAACCTTTATTAACATCTTGTATTGTCTTGCTCTCTGTTTATCAGTAAGGGGGTGGGGGTATCCCTTACTATCAGTGTTTGCAACCTGTATTAACATCTTGTATTGCCCTGCTCTTTACTGTGTGGTAAGTAGGTATCCCTTTACTATCGCGTTTCAGTAAACCTGTATTAACATCTTGTATTGTCTTTACTCTGTTTATCAGTATGTGTGTATCCCTTACTATCAGTGTTTGAAACCTTTATTAACATCTTGTATTGTCTTGCTCTCTGTTTATCAGTAAGGGGGTGGGGGTATCCCTTACTATCAGTGTTTGCAACCTGTATTAACATCTTGCATTGTCTTGCTCTCTGTTTATCAGTAAGGGGGTGGGGGTATCCCTTACTATCAGTGTTTGCAACCTGTATTAATATCTTGTATTGTCTTGCTCTCTGTTTATCAGTAAGGGGGTGGGGGTATCCCTTACTATCAGTGTTTGCAACCTGTATTAATATCTTGTATTGTCTTACTCTCTGTTTATCAGTAAGGGGGTGGGGGTATCCCTTACTATCAGTGTTTGCAACCTGTATTAATATCTTGTATTGTCTTACTCTCTGTTTATCAGTAAGGGGGTGGGGGTATCCCTTACTATCAGTGTTTGCAACCTGTATTAATATCTTGTATTGTCTTGCTCTCTGTTTATCAGTAAGGGGGTGGGGGTATCCCTTACTATCAGTGTTTGCAACCTGTATTAATATCTTGTATTGTCTTACTCTCTGTTTATCAGTAAGGGGGTGGGGGTATCCTTACTATCAGTGTTTGCAACCTGGTATCCCTTACTATCAGTGTTTGCAACCTTTATTAACATCTTGTATTGTCTTGCTCTCTGTTTATCAGTAAGGGGGTGGGGGTATCCTGTTTGAATACTCACTCATAGTGGACATTTTAGCGCTTATACTACTTTGTATTGTTGGTACACCATGAGATATTTCCCTGCACACAGAATACAGTCCAATCTCATAATGTCCTTCATATAAATGTAAACATCACAGAGTGCCTCAATAGTAACCACCTGATTTCCAGCTATCATTAATTTAACCTGTTGCCAGTCTTCATCTGGCAAGAGCTGGATCTAAAGCATCACATTCCCCGTGCACATCCCACTAAGCCCTGCATCCTGTAGCCATGATTGCAAATCACACTGGCTGGATCCAAATTCCCGGGCCAATGGCAGAGGCAAACATTGTTTTCTTCCATTATAGTTGCCCCTCTTAACCCGTGTGTCAGTGGCACATGCTCTCTGCACACCTGGATCTGGCGAAGATGACATCATACACGGACTGTTCTTCTGCCGACAGAGTCAGTTGGTGAAGTTCACAGCGCCTCTGGGGAAGCAAAACCTGCAAGAGATGGGACAAGGAGGTCATAGAACCTGCATATGCACCAAGTGTACAGAAATGCATAATATGCTTCTAAATGCTTGTACAGATCTTATCACACACCAGGAGAGATAGAGTGAGAACGTGTGGGGCGTGCGATGCATGCAAGACACAACAATATTAAATAACCACTGAGGGGAGAAATTTGCTAAAGGTAAGAGGAAAGTGAGCAGAACTGAAATAAGAGAGAATGAAGGAATCTCGTTACCAGCGGTCTCCCCATGGTGTCCAGCTGGTCCTTGGTTCTCCGCAGAAGAAGACTCTTAGTCAAGATGTTTAGTCTTTCTCCCCCTTTTCGGCTGCCATTATCCACCTGATTCTTCCACAGTTTGAACTCATCAAATGGCGAACAGCGCAGGAACCTACAGCCAGGAGACAAAGATCACTCCTCAATCTCCTATCCCAACTGAACATGAGCTGAAACCCAGGTGGACAATATTAAACGGAGCACTGATTAAAAATAAAATCCAGGTGGAGAACATT